TTAAAAGAACCTCTACTGCTGACATTAATTTATAAGTGTCAGCAGGACAAAACTCTATGACATCATAGCTGATCTGGGACATGGTGAGCTGCCTACATCCCTTCAGGAATCATTAGTCAGTTAATCTAATTCATCCTCTACTAGAATGACTGATTATGAAGGTGCACAAGCAGAAGCAGCAGTAAAGTTTAGCTATCTTTTTATTTACATTGCAGGAGATGTTAATTCCAAATCACATCTCCTTAGTATTGTAATTTGCTGCTGTTTTAAAATGCTGAAGATGACTTTTTAAAAAATATATATTTTTGTTGATTTTAGAGAGGAAAGGAGAGGGAGAGAATCATTGATCAGCTGCCTCCTGCACACCCCACACTGGAGATCATGCCCACAACCCAGCTTGTGCCCCCATTGGGAATTGAACCATGACCTCCTGGTTCACACCACCTGGAATGAAAATGACTTTTTTTTTCCCCTTAAAAATATATTTTATTAATTTTTTACAGAGAAGAAGAGAGAGTTAGAAACATCGATGAGAGAGAATCATCAATCAGCTGCCTCTTGCACACCCCCCCATTGGGGATGTGCCCACAACCAAGGCGCACATGCCCTTGACCGGAATCGAACCTGGGACCTTTCAATCTGCAGGCCGATGCTCTATCCACTGAGCCAAACTGCTGTTGGTGAAAATGACTTTAAATCATCTTTATAGTACATGTTGGGCAAGCTCTTGATATAATTGTCTAAGGAATTTTCAAGATTTTTTGCTTCTGTGTCTTTGTTGTTCTTGGTGGTGGTGGTGGTGGTGGTGGTGGTGGTGGTGGTGGTGGTGGTGGTGGTTGTGGTGTTGTGTGTGTGTGTTGTTAATACCAGGGGATACTTTTTCCACTGCTTTTCAGAGAGTGGGGGAGTGGGAGGAGAGAAAGAGAGAGAGAAAAAAAAACATCAATTTGAGAGAGAAACATTGATTGGTTGCCTCCCACATGCACCCGGACTGAGGGCAGGGAGCAAACCATCTACCATTTGGTGGGAAGGCAGGTGCTCCAATCACTGAACCACACTGGCTAATGTTAGATGGAGTTGTTTTATCACTGGGGTCAATTCAGAGTACCTCTCAGAAATCTAACTGGCTTACAGAAAAAAGCAGTTTAAAAAATCATTTTAGAATAAGGCAGCATCTTATTCTTTAACTTGGTAGCAAGTATATACTACTTGGTAATGAAACTAGAAATGTGCACAAAATGAAAGGACTACTTAGGCAATTTTTCCCCTAGAATTGATTTTAGCTGAAAAATAAATATACTTTATTTATTTATAATTCTAGGTGAAGATATTTATAATTCTCAGTAATGAGACTGAATTTTTACCAAAGGCTTATTGTGACATGATCCTAATAAAGGGCTAATATGCAAATTGACTGAATGACAGAACGACTGGTCGCTGTGATGCGTACTGACCACCAGGGGGCAGACACTCAATGCAGTGCACTCCCACAGAGGGAGCGCTTCTCAGTCAGAAGCCAGGCTTACAGCTGGGGAGCACAGTGGTGGTGGCAGGCTCCTCTCCTGCCCCTGGGCAGTGCTAAGGATAAGGATGTCCGACTACTGTCAGTTGGACATTGCCCAAGGGCTTCCAGACTGAGAGAGGGCACAGGCCTTCTCTTCCCCCTCCCCCTCCACTGAGCCTCCAGTATAACATACTTAATTATCTAATAACCTGGCATATAGGTTTGAATTTCATTGATGTTTCTGTTTTTGCTATATAACAGAATTTTGATGCCTCAGTCAAAAATTTTTTAATACGTCTGTTCTTCTTTAGGAGTTCTCTAGTGGCACATTTTTCTTACAGTTAAAGTTAAATAATTTTGCGTTTTTTCTCTTAGAATCATATCTGCTTGCAGATATGAGAATTACAGATTATGGTGAGAAATAATAAAGCCAAAACAAAACATATTAATGCATGAGAAGTAAAATAGTCTGTTGACTTTTCCAAATCTTTTTTCTGCTATTGAACTATTTTCCCGTTTTTATATCAGGAAGTACCCTGTTTCCCCAAAAATAAGACAGTGTCTTATATTAATTTTTTCTCCCAAAGTTGCACTAGGTCTTATTTTCAGGAGATGTCTTATCTTTCCATTCGCTAGGTCTTATTTTCGGAGGATGTCTTATTTTCGGGGAAACACGGGTATTTTCTAAAATCCACATACCAAATCCATTATTTTTCATTTTATGCATTTCAGGTAGTTTATCTTCTTTAGCTTTTGGGTTGTTTTGCCAAATAATGCATGGGTAAACTTGCTAAAATTTTTGTAGTTAGTGTTGTACACTTAAACTGTTGATTTTTTTTCATTTAAATCAACTTAATGCTCTCTATGTGTGCTGATGTTTGTTTTTGTTTTTTGTTTTTTAAGTAAGTGATATAACTCTTAATGGTGGAATGATTAGGAAATGGGGAGATAAGTACAAACCTAATTGTAAATCATAGCATTTATTTTAAAAGAAGCAAATTCAGTCTCTACATAAAGCTGAGAAGGAAACATTAGAGTTCATAATCTTTTTTTAGTGGCAACCTCCAACTTCATACTTCCCTATTGAAGTCCATGTCATACATCATTTTTTAAAGACAAAACATCTGTTTTCAGAGAGAGAAAGTTCTGTATTACAACCTTTCAGACTATTTTTAGTAAAGACTTAAGATATACCATGTCAACATTGAATCAGTTATTGGGCTGCGTTCTTTAGTTTTGATAAAATTGAAGCAGGAAGAAGAATTGATATGTGAGCTACAGAGGTTTCCTTGGTCATTGTCTATAAAAAGAAGGATTAGTTATAGAAGAACCTTGTTGTAAGATTCCATTTGGGGCCCTTATATTTCCATAAAGGGAAATGATAATAGTATTGTGTAATTGCTTGATGAAATCATTTAGGCTATTAATAAAAAAGTGTCATAATTGTCATCATTAAAAACTTCTTTTAATAATTTTGTTTTTCTTTGAATTGCCAATGACATTTTTATGCTTATGTGATTATGTGCTATAAGTAATTATATTAACATTAATAAAATGAATTTATAGAACACAAATTAATTTCCTCTAAAAGAAAACAAGAGTGAGTAAATTAAGTATTTACTGTGATTATCACAGCCACAGTGGTGATGGGTGATTATAGAAAGTAGAAATGTAGTTTAAAAGGTTTTTCACATATATATGTAATAAATGCTGAGTGAGTAGCAGAGCTTGCTATATATAAGTAAATATATGTGTGCATATAGAGATTGAGAAATGTAGTCATATGACTAATTAGAAATGGATATAAATACTAACTTTTTGTTTAAAACTCTAATAAAACTAGCCAGGATAGCCCAGGCACTTTCCTTCACATGCCCCTAAATTAGTCAGCAACTGATTAGAAATATCTCTGTAAAAAGAATATGTAATAATACAAATTAATTTACTATGTTAGTTACTTTATTAGGCTTTTATCGAGATTTGTATAATAGTGAGTGGAAGGAATTGTGGTATTCTAACTTTTCTTATAAAAGAAATATTTGACTTTGTACTGGCTAAAAATACTTTGTGTACATATTACCAAATGAATTTTTATATAATTGTTCTTAAATGTAATTTTAAAATACTTACTTTATTGTTCTTAGCTGCTTTGGTATTACCAATAACTGCATATTAAATATTGGTAGGAAGGGTCAGTACTATACATTATTTAGATTCAATGAGTATAATCATTGAAAGATTAAATACCACTAGTATCCCTATGTATGTTTTCTATGATTTACTCTAGATCAGCTGTTGACTCACAACTTCATTTTAGAGTATCATGTAAGACTTGATTTGAGTCAAATTATATAGCTTTTATGTTATTGCTTACTTTGATAAATAAGATATTCTAAATATAGATTAATTTTAATTTTACTTTTGCTATCGTATTTAGGAAAAGCTGACTTGTATCTTAATTTTTTTCAGTAGTGTTAATGATGACTGACAAGTGTCATACCGTAATGTTTCCTATAGGATATTAAATTTCTATCATTCATAGAAATTTTTTCAAATTGATAATTAGCTTGAGTTTTTATATACTGTTTCACTTTTAATTTTGCTCATGAATTTTACATTTGTTTTGATGTATTGAGTTGTTTTTTATTACAGTGATTTGTGTACCTTCCCCTGGCATCTTAAGATTAAAATTTTGCTTTCAAAGCATGTTTGAAATGATACTGAGAATTATTGTTTATACTATAACTGTTATAGCAAAATATTTATATATTAGTATATTTTAATTATGGCAGTATTTGATTTTAATTGCTCAAAATATTAGAAATTTAATTTTAAATTCTATAGTTAGTTTATTTTAGAAGTATTATGGTAAATAAAAGGGAAGTTAAAATAAAATAATTGTAGTCAAATCTTGAAAGCTGGAAGGCCTTCTACATATTACATGGATTATCCTTTTGCAGAAAGGAAATGGACATTGTTAGTGCTAGAACTGCCCCCTTTCTGGACCATTGCTGTTATTGGAGGAATTTAAGCAATTTAAGACTTCATTTCAGAAAATTAATACATGGTATTATAGATGGAGATAATACTTATATTGCTTTTTATCAGGAACTAGAATACCTAGCACTTCTAAGCAAATAGGATGCAAAGTGAAAGGACTTCCCAACAATTTACAACATTTAAAAATACTATAGTTATAATTGTACTGAAGTGATAAAGTGATTTAAATAGAGCTTTTGTGCCCCAACTCCCACCCTGGAATAATATATCTAATATACATTAATTTGCTTTGTGGAAGATTATGTTGCAGTTCCTAAGTAAACATTTATTTTTTACTATTCAGGAATAGGATTTTTTGAGTGGAAGAAATGAGGGAAGTAGGAAGATAAAATTTATATTACTGTATTATAACTGTTAAGTGCTTACATTTCCCCCACAATATTGTCTTATACTGTATGATCTTTCAGCATTTAAGAAGCGGTTTTGTTCTTTATAGCTGAACCAATAACGTTTCCAACTGGAGGAGGCAAGTCATTTATTATGGGTTCTGATGATGTTTTGTTAAGTGTACTGGGCCTTGGAGACCTTGCAGACTTGACGGTAACAAATGATGCAGACTATAGTTATGATGTAAGTGCAGTTTTATTTTTAATTTTTTAATGATTTACTAGAAGGCTCCTTATTTTTGGAAACACTTATAAAATAGATTTAATATCAAGGTGCATGGAAAAGATAAGTTTGTCAATATGTTGAGTTGAAGTGACATATAGTTGAGTGTTTTTTTAATAACTAGTTTCTTTGTGGTGTTTAAATTTTTCTTAGGTATTGTGGTGGATTAGTTAGGAGTTTGGGATGATTAGTTAGGAGTTTGGGATGATTATTTATTGATCAATAAATATCTTGAGTAGTCAACTCTCAATTATTTATTCAAATCAAGTCATATTTCAGTGTTAAGGAGAAAAATAGCCTGATCACTTCAGGAGACTTCCTTAAAAGCATGTTTATTTTGGAACTTTTATTTTTTTAAGGATAATGTTCAAGTTAGCTTGTTGCAATTTCCTGATTTTCAGTCCTTCATTTGAGGGATGGGGGAAGGATGGAGGGTAAATGGGAAGGTCAGTGTTAGAGGTGAAACTAGTCTGGGATTAAATTTTTTATAGACAGTAAACATTCAATTGAGAGTTAACTAAACTTGTTTAACTTTATATTTAATGAATTTGCAGTTTTAAGCATATATTTTGGTTTTTTTAATGAATTTATTTTTTCTCTGTTTTATAAAGTACGTAGGGTATTAAATTCTAGTATACTTGACCTAGTTTGGGAGAGATTTTATAGCCTATCATTACAGATGAAGAAATGAGGATAAAAACAGTTAACCTCATGTCAATATCAACAGTAATGATGAAAATATTCTTAGTGTCTTTAGTTCAAACTTTTGGGAAGTACCTTAACTTGCTGCCTTTAAAAACTTCACATTTCTAATTTTCTGAATGACAACTATACTATTAATATTGTACTCCTGGATTTTGGGTAGTAATTTATTTAATTTTTATTATTTTCATATAAAGTATTGCAGCATAGTAGTTTTTGTTCTTCTCATCTGACATTTTCTAGGACCTTTGAGTTTAGCCTAATGATTAGATAAAACAGATTGAGGGACTCCGTTTGATGTAGGTATTTGAATGCTAATGAAATTATTCTTAGTTCTTATTAAACGATAAAGTTTATAAAGCTTTTAAGGTAAATTAAATTTCTACTGGACAGTTTAGCAAAGCAATTTAACATATATATCTTAAACACACCAAAACAAATAAAAATTCCACATGTCTATCAATTTACTACTTTCACCACTAAAAATTGTGCTTTTTCTTTTTAGTTGCCTGCCAATAAAGATGCCTTTCGAAAGACATGGAACCCCAAGTATACACTACGTAGCCATTTTGATGGAGTCCGGGCATTAGCTTTTCATCCTGTAGAACCTGTGCTAGTTACCGCTTCTGAGGATCATACTCTAAAACTTTGGAACTTGCAAAAAACAGTTCCTGCCAAAAAGTAAGTATCCTAATGGTAGCCTTTTTTTTTTTCCTTCTAGATTTGCCAAAAATTAGAAGTTACTATTTTTTATGGTCCCATATCATGCGTGCACTCAGTTTGATCTTACCTAATGACTCTTGATTATCAACCAATGGTTTACGATTATTTAATTGTCTTTTCTCCCACCCCTCTTTTAGGAGTGCCTCTTTAGACGTAGAGCCTATCTACACATTTAGGGCCCACATGTAAGTTTTATTTTATCCATAAATCTTATAAAATTGTAGTAATGTTTGTCTTATATTAGAAAAGACAGTACTTAAATAATATTTTATTAATAATTGTATTAGCAGAATATAGTCATTACTATTCAAGTGTACATGTTTACATTATACAGTTTTAAGATGCCGCATAAGTTCAGAGGTTGCGGATTGCATATATGAGTTTCTTTTCTAAACTTTATAAGTAACTTTTTTCTTTTTGTTTCTATAATAGTGGCCCTGTTCTATCTTTAGCAATTAGTTCTAATGGAGAGCAGTGTTTTAGTGGTGGTATTGATGCAACCATCCAGTGGTGGAATATGCCTAGCCCTAATGTTGATCCATATGATACATATGGTAAGTAAAATGTTCAAAACGTATATTTTTAAGTGAATGGAGCTGGCAAAAGTAAATACATCATCTAGAAGCTTGTGAAACATGTATTAGTTTCCTTGTTTAGTTATTTTATTTCTATTAATTTCTTTTATTAAAGAGAAACATAGGAGATATGCCATGAATATTTATGACTGTGAATTGGTACTCTTTCTATGGTGTCCAAAATATATATATTATTAATTAAAACATTAGTTAATTTCAGTACTAGTTACAAAAAGGAGAGAATAAGATTTAATATAAGGAATAATCTTTTAAAATTGAAAAAGCTTATGTAGTTCAAAAATATTTAGCAGAACAAATAGGGACAGTAAGGGGATATATCACTACAACTTTTTAGAGGTCAAAAAATTCCTTAATTTAAAAAAAACTTGCAATGCCCCGCCAGTATGGCTCAGTGGTTGAGCGTTGATCTATGAACCAGGAAGTCACAGTTTGATTCCCAGTCAGGGCATATCCCCTGGATGTGGGCTCAATCCTCGAGGCAGCCAGTCAATGATTCTCTCTCTTCCTCTCTGAAATCAACAAAAATGTATTTAAAAAAAAAAAAAAATACACTTACAAGTACCGCTTTTAGATCTGTCCTACAGAAATACTTAATACCTGTATTCAATATATTTAATGGACATTTTTTGTAATTATGAAAATTAAAACACAATGAATGTTTGTTAGTATGAGAATCTATACTAATAAAAGGATAATATGCTAATTAGACTGGATCAATTGTCCGATGTCCTTCTGGACAAAGCCACAGTGGCAGAAGCAGAGGTGGTTAGGGGTTAGTCAGGCTGGTGCGTGGGAGCAAGCAGTTAGTGGCGAGATCAAGCAGGCAGGCAGGTGAGCGGTTAGGGACTATCAAGCAGGCAGGCAGGTGAGCAGTTAGGAGCCAGCAGTACCAGATGGAATCCCGGATTGAAGAGGGTACAGGCCTGGCTGAGGGGTCATCATCCCCCACCAGCACTCCTTCCCCGCACAAGTTTTGTGCACAGGCCTCTAGTGGTTAAATAAATAGTGGTCGACTTAATGGTTAGTTTATTTAAGAAGAACTTGAGCTCTTTGGTGTTTTTATTTAACACACACTTGGTACCTAACTTTGCCAGGTTTAGTGTTAAGTACTACATCAAGAAGTAAGAATTAGCCTTAGCCGGTGTTGCTCAAGTTGGTTGGGTATTGTCCCATGCACTAAAGGTTGCCAATTCGATTTCTGATCATGGCACATGCCCAGGTTGCAGGCTCCATCCCCAGTAGGGGGTGTGCAGGAGGCAGCCAATCAATTTTTCAGTCTCACATTGATGTTTCTTCCTCCCTTTTCCCTTTTCTCTCTCTCAAAATCAATGAAAATTTTTTTTTGTTTTTTGTTTTTAAAGAAGTAAGAATTGTCTAATGGAAGTGGTAGGCATTAAACAAATAAGCAAGGGGATAGAGTCTATAGTTAAAAATTGTGATAAGTACTATAACAGTACAATACTTTGAGAAAGAGTAACAAGTGTAACTTTTTTTAGATGTAGTCTAAAATGGTGACATTCAAACTAAAATATACAATATAAAAGGGAAATTTTAATATAGTAGACCCTCCTTTTCAGCAGTTTTGCTTTCTGAGAATTCAGTTACCTGAGGTTAACCATGATCCAAAAATGTTAACTGGAAAATTCCAGAAATAAAAAATTGGTAAGTTTACATTGCACACTGTTCTGAGTAGCATGATGAAATCCAGCATCCTTCTGCTCCATCCTGCCCTAGATGTGATTCATTCCTTTTTTTAACATATTGACACTGTATATGCTGACCTGCCCATTAGTCACTTGGTATCCAGGTATGGCAGTGCTTATGTTCCAGTAACCTTTAATTTACTTAATAATGGCCCCAAAGTGCAAGAGAATTGATACTGTCAATTTGAATATGCCAAAGAGAAATTATTTTTTAACTCTCATCCAAGGATATGTTGTTGTTTTATTGATTTGAGGAAGAGAGAGGAAGGGAAAGAGAGAAACATCGATGTGAGAGAAACATTGATATATTGCCTCCTATACGCCACAACTAAGGATCAAACCCGCAACCTTTTGGTATATGGGATGATGCTCTAATCAGCTTAGCCACCGGTCAGGTGGCTAAATGCTTCCTTTAAGAATGTGAGAGTTTTTGACTAAATAAGAAAAGAAAATATAACCATATGCTGAGGTTCCTGGCCATGAAATTGTGAAGAAGAAAAAAGAAATTCATGCTTGAGCTGAACCCAGGCAATTGGAGGCTTCTCACTGAGAGACTCAGGAATATATTAGTTCACCCTTGACGCAATTTATACCTTCTCCCCTTTCCTTACAATGTACCCACAATAGAAGTCATTTTTAAGGATGTAGCCTTGAAAGAGTAAGACAATGAGACCAGCTGGCTTGAATATATTATTGAACTCAGTTAAGGCCTCTATATGCACTTAAGATTCAACTTGTCTTGCTGCCATTCAAAACTAGCCTTTTCTGTAAGTTCCCTTGCTTATTAAATCTGCAGCCTACCAAAAAAAGAAAAAAGAAATGCTAGTTTGCTGAAAGAGAACATGCAAATAACTTGTTATAGTATATTGTTATAATTGTTCTATATTATTAGTTATTGTTTTTAATTTCTTAGTGTGGCTAGTTTATACATTAAACTTTATCATAGATATGTATTTGTAGGAAAATAGTATACAGGGGTGGGGGAAAGTAGGTGTAGGTGGAATAAGATATTACCTAAAAGATAAATCGTAAATAAGGATGTGAAATAATAATAGTAGGAAAAAGACAAATATTACACTAATAAATAAATAATACAAGAATTAACTGTGTTTTGCATACTCACAACTGTAAATCTACTTTTGCAAACCCCTGTATATAGAGTTTAGTACTATCCGTGCTTTCAGTTATCCACTGGTTGTCTTAGAATGTATCCCTTGTGGATAAGGGGGGATTACTGTAAAGAGTTTTAAGCCAGGAAGTGACTTGTAAATGTAGGGTTTAAAAAGGTGACTCTAGCTGTTGCAGGACATGGAGGGCAGAGTGGAGAGAGGAATACAAATTTAATGTTGTACTGTAAAGTTGGAACATAGTGGGCCAGTACTCGGTGAGAGGTGATGTTGCCAAGACTAGAGTGGTGGTAAAGCTTTGGTAGTAGACCAGTTTAAGTGAAATGGATATAAGACATATTGTGGAGGTAGGATAGAATAGACAGAATCCTAGCTAATAAAAGAGTAATATGCAAATTGACCATCACTCCAACACATAAGATGGCTGGCAGGGGAAGGCAGTTGTGGGTGATCAGGCTAGTAGGGGGAGGGCATTTGGGGGCTACCAGCCTAGCAGGGGCGGGCAGTTAGGGGTAACCAGGCCTGCAGGGGAGGAAAGTTGGAGAGAGGACCAGTCCTGCAGGGGAGGGCAATTAGGGTGACCAGGCCAGTAGGAGAGGGCAATTAGGCATTGATCAGGCTAGCAGGGAAGTTAAGGGGTGATCAGGCTGGCAAACAATTTCTGATTAAGTAATATCTCAACAAAGCTGTTTTTTAAAACGTATATGTTCCTTACAGAAAATGCAAGAATATATTGGGGGAGGTGGGTAAAAATAACCAATAATTTCACAACTTAGAAGACATGGCCATTGTATACATTTTGGCTTATCTTCTTATAGCTGGTATGTGTAATCTTTTACTTAATTATTTGATAAGTTATCTTTATATACTTAAACTAATTTTTGCTCATGTTTGTTTGTTTTCTTCCCAGAGCCAAATGTTCTAGCTGGCACTTTATTGGGTCATACAGATGCTGTCTGGGGCCTTGCTTATAGTGGCATAAAAAATCAATTACTGTCTTGTTCAGCAGATGGCACTGTTAGGTTATGGAAGCCACAAGAAAAATTGCCATGTGTTTGCACTTACAATGGAAACAAGGGTATGTACATGTGCCTCTATGAAAAAAGCTAACTTTTTCTTATTTATTTGGAAGATAGAAAGGATAACTGATTTACTATTTGTTGCTCAAAAAAATTGAAAGAATTTAAAGCTTGTGGTAATCTTTTTCCTTCGTTATTTTTTATAAATGGGAAGCTTTGCAAATGTATCCTGTAGTTCAGTGGGGTTTTTTACCCTTTTCAGGACGTTCTATTTAAAAAGCAAAACTATTTCTATGTAATAGTGGAGTGGACAAACGAGGCTAGTAATGGGGACAACTAAGGCTCTCTGCTCCTGTGGCTTCCCACAGGAATCGAACAATCACAGTGGGAATGAACTTGCCTGCAAACCATGTATGAGCGCACTGGTTAAGAAATAGCACCCTTAACTGGGAGGTACAAATTAAGTGACGTGCATAATTTCCAATCTTTTACTGTCAAAGAAGGCTTTAACCAATTTACCTGTGACATTTGTTTACATGCATATACTGTGCTTGTATTGGTCTTATTTTCTAAGTCATTTTTTAAAGTTTGTTTTAAACATCAGACTTTTTTTTATCCTCACCCACGGGTATGTTTAGAGAGAGAGAAAAACACCTATCGATTGCTTCCCCAATACATCCTAACTGGGGATCAAACCTGCAGTGTATGCATGTGCCCTGACCAGGAATCGAGCCCTCAACTTTTTGGTGCATGAGTTGATGATGCTCCAACCAACTGAGCTACCCGGCCAGGGACAAACTTTCATTTTTATTAAAAAGTATGTTTAGTTTTAAAACATTTTATTTTTGTTGTTTTTGTTGTTTTTAGTTGATTGTTTGCTTGTTAATCCTATCCCGAGGATGTTTTTCCATTGATTTTTTAGAAAGAGTAGGAAGGAGAGGGAGAGACAGAAATATCAATGTTAGAGAGAGATTGATTGGTTGTCTCCTGCACGCATCCCCACCAGGTTACCTGCAACTTAAGTATGTGCCCTTGAACGGAATTGAACCCAGGACTCTTCAGTCCACAGGCAAATCCTTTATCCCCTGAGCCAAATCAGTTAGGGCTTAAAACATTTTGAATGACTAGTATATGCTTAATTTTGTTAGGTCTCTGTTACCCAAGTTTTTGAGGTAAAAATTCATTTAGATATTTATTTCTAGCTTCATCTAGGTAATTAATTGCATAATTCCAGATTTCATCTTGTTGTGCATTGATCTGGCCAGTGAATTTATTACGTTAAAGAGAGAAATTGCTGCTCAGACCACTGTACGGGGTAGCAGAGCATGAGTGGATTCCAGAGTACACACTTTATTTTTACAGATCTGAAAACATTACAGGTGAACAGTCTCTGAAGACAGTGATGTGAGAATGCTAATTTATCATTTTACAGTAAAATATATAATTGCAAGTGGGCCAAAGGACTCATCAAGATTTTTTTTTTCTCTTTTAAAAGAAAATGCATAGAGAGTAACTTTTGCACATATCTACTCTCACTTTAAGAGCCCTCTAGCTATGTTTTTCTTACAATGTTAAATAGAATGTTATACAAACCTTTTAAGTAACTGAGGGAAAGCTTTGGCTGGTGTGACTCGGTTGGTTAGAGTGTCTTCCAATGCACTGGGAGGTTGTGGGTTTGATTCCCAGTCAGGGCACATAACTAGTTTTAGGTCCCCAGTCCTAAATGTAGCTCTCCTATTACTGTTTCTCTCTCCCCCTCTCCTCCTTTCTTTCTCTCTCACCCCACCCTCTCCCTCTCTAAAATCAATCATCCAGTCAATAATATAAAAAATAAAATAATTGAGGCAAAGTTACATATTATATAGCTCACCATCCTAACACAATTTCTTTTTTATTATTAACATTATTTCAAGAATATTTGAATTTCTTTTTTAATCAGAAGAGCAGACATTTCTAAGTTATGTGTTTACACTGTATCTCTTTGGGCTCCTTTCAGAACATGGAATACCTACATCGGTTGACTTTATAGGCTGTGATCCAGCTCATATGGTGACCTCTTTCAACACTGGTAGTACAGTAATTTATGACTTAGAAACATCACAGTCATTGGTGATGCTTTCATCACAGATAGATTCTGGTAAGTTTTCATGGGTTCCTTTGAAACTTTAAAAAAGGAATACTACACAATAGAGTGTGGTTTTTAATTTTCACATTTTGACTGTTTAAATTTAGGATAAAAAATAGTTTAATTGTGTTATAGTTATTTACATTATTCCTATTTCTTGAAAATATGCTTAAAATTAAGCTGAGTGGGTATATGAGGACAGAAAAGGGAGTAAAGCAATGTAAAGATGAAAGCAAATTAACTAATTTTAAATTTTTAATGGAAATACATATGGAAGTAGAGAAAATAATAATATGAGCCTGATGAACTCATGTAGCCCCAGTAATTATGTGTAAATGGTCAATGTTATAAGTAAGTATAGGATCTGAAGTGTATTTTACAATTTATTTAAATAGAAATCCAAATAATACTCTGCACTGTGATTGGCTGATAAGTCTTTCAGGTCTCTCTTCATCTATAGGTTCCCTCTCCATCTTTTTTTTTTTTTCATTTATATTTTTTATGTTTATTTTACTTTAATTACAGTTTATATTATAGTTAATAATATTTTGTGTTAGTTTCAGGTGTACAGTATAATGGTTAGACAATCATGTACTTTACAAAGTGGTCCCCTTGATACCAAGTACCCACCTGGCACTATATATAGTTATTATAAATTTTTTTCTTTATTGATTACATATTACATATGTATCCTTACTCTCCCATATCCCCTTAACCCCTACACACATACCCTCATGCCCCCGGTGTCTGTGTCTATTGGTTGGGCTTATATGCATGCATACAAGTCTTTTGGTTGATCTCTCCTCCTTAACCCTTCCTTCTGAGGTTTGATGGTCTGATCGATGCTTCTCTGTCTCTAGATCTGCTTTTGTTCATCAGTTTATGTTCATTGTATTCCACAAATGAGTGAGATCATGTGATATTTATCTTTCTCTGACTAGCTTATTTCGCTTAGCATAATGTTCTCCAGTTCCATCCAAGCTGTTGCAAATGTTAAGAATTCCTTCTTTTTTGCTGGCACCGGTTTGGCTCAGTGGATAGAGCGTTGGCCTGCGGACTGAAAGGTCCCGGGTTCGATTCCGGTCAAGGGCATGTATAATACCTTGGTTGCGGGCACGTCCCCAGTAGGGGGTGTGCAAGAGGCAGCTGGTCGATGATTCTCTCTCATCGATGTTTCTAACTCTCTATCCCTCTCTCTTCCTCTCTGTGAAAAATCAATAAAATATATATTTAAAAAAAAAAAAGAATTCCTTCTTTTTTACCACAGTGTAGTATTCCATTGTGTAGATGTACCACAGTTTTTTGATCCACTCATCTGCTGATGTGCTCTTAGGCTGTTTCCAAATCTTAGCTATGGTGAATTGTGCTGCTGTGAACATAGGGGTGCATATATCCTTTCTGATTGATGTTTCTAGTTTTTTGGGATATATTCCTAGAAGTGGTATAACTGGGTCAAATGGGAGTTCCATTTTCAGCTTTTTTAGGAAACTCCATTCTGTTCTCCACAGTGGCTGCACAAGTCTGCATTCCCATCAGCAGTGCACGAGGGTTCCTTTTTTTTCCACATCCTCACCAGCACTTGTTGTTTGTTGACGATAGGTGTGAGATGATATCGCATTGTCGTTTTGATTTGCATATCTCGTATGATTAGTGACTTTGAGCATATTTTTATATGTCTCTTGGCCTCCCTTATAACCTCTTTCAAAAAGTGTCTATTTAGGTCCACTGCCCCTTTTTTGATTGGATTGGTTATCTTTCTTTTATTAATTTGTATAAGTTGCCTGTAAATGTTGGAGTTTAAACCCTTACCGGAGATAACATTGGCAAATATGTTCTCCCATGCAGTGGGCTTTCTTGTTGTTTTGTTGATGGTTTCTTTTGCTGTATAGAAGCTTTTTATTTTGATGTTCCATTTTCTTTTTAGTTTCAATTGAGCTGTATCAATGAAGATATTGCTTCGGCATATGTCTGAGATTTTGCTGCCTGTGAATTTCTGTAATATTTTTATGGTTTCCTGTCTTATGTTTAAGTCCTTTATCTATTTTGAGTTTATTTTTGTGTAATTTGCTGGTGTAGTTTTGTTTTTTTGCATGTGTCCAACTTTCCCAATACCATTTATTGAAAATATATTAATAACTATATTTTCTATACTGTACTTCCTTGCATTTTATACTTGAAGAAGTTGGGTAGTTTGCCTGTAAAGTTTTCCACAGTCTGGATTTTGCTTGTTGCATCATTTAACAAGCTCCTCTGCTCATTTTATTTCCTATAAATTGGTTTTAGCTCCAGAGGCTTATTCAAAAGCAAGGTTCAGTGTTTTATTTGTTTTCATTTAAAAATTTTTAATGTTTAGGCAAGACTACCTCATAAATTGTGAACTTATATCAGAAGTAAATATTGTCTACTTCTTTATCTTTTTATGTTTCAATCTTGATAATTACCTGGATCTGTCAGTTTATTAACTGTTTAAAAATGATTTTCTAATTCTGTCATTACTTCTCCACTTATTAGCTAGAATACTTCTGTAAAGAGGAATACCCCTCATCAATAAATTGGGTACTTTGGAGTTAGATTACAAAGGAAAGGCAAAATAAATTCTTGATTTCCCCCCTTCCTTCATTTACCAGCTTACAGAATAGTAATAATGAGATGTTCCCTAGCATCCTCCACAGGTGACCAGAGAGTCTATTGGGTGTTGTTTGTTTGTTATATTATCATTACTAGAGTCCTAATCATGAAATCCATGCAAAGGGCTTGGCCCTTGCAGCCCCAGCTGCCTCAGCCAGCCCTCACAGCTATGACTTCGTCTGGAAAGTCATCTGGACGGTCAATCTGCTGTTTTATAATTAGCATCTCATTTAGATATAAATGTATTTGAATCATTGCCGGTATTTTCTTTATTGCTATTCAGATGGGTTAATCTTTGGCCAATGGGGATTTATTCATGTTAGCTCCCGAGTCCTGTTGACATGACCCTGGTAGTCGTGATAGTTTTACTTTCTGATATGAGAAGATGCTCTAGGTTCATCTTGTTGATTTGTGCCCCAGATCTGAAATTGGCCATTTCTCTAAGGAGCCAGGGTTTCTCTAAGTGAAAAAGGCAATTAGAGTCTATAGTCTAGGCTCTTGGGTTGGCCTTCATGGATTTCATGGCTCTTGAACTAGCCGTTGGTTTAGGCATTTCCAGTGGTCAGAGCTACGGATACATTTTTTATAAATAAAAAATGTTGATAAATTCATATGAATACTTCCAATTGAAATTCAGATTTATCTCATTGTTTTTTATGTCTTTATTTCATTTTAACCGTACATACCAAATCTCTTTGTGTTCAGCAAAATCATCACAATCTCTCATGTATTTATTTCATAGTACACATAGTCAACTCAGAATAATAATACCAAAACCACTGCCAATAGTTTGATTACTGAAACTAGGGATGGGTAATCTATTACTGCGCTTTCAAGTCACTTGAAATATTTCACTTATTTGTGCTTATACCACCAATTGGATATATGGTAAAGTTCATTCATTAAATTTTACTTTTGATTTTTCATGATTGCTTTTTAAAAAAATCAAGCTTTTTAAGTGTTAATCGTGTAAAACGATTAACTCAAAGAATACTCAAAGAAGTGTCTTTCTCAGTGTCTTTTTAACCTTAGTCTCTCCCTCTTCCATAGGTAATTACATACACACACAAACATATGCATTTTTTTGTGTAACATGTTTAAGTTTAATTAAGAGTTCTTATATACATGTGGAATTGATTTACTTAAAGTCTAACAATATTGATGATATTTTCCCACTTGTTTTTTTTTTTAATATATTTTAATGATTTTTTACAGAGAGGAAGGGAGAGAGATAGAGAACTAGAAACGTTGATGAGAAAGAAACATCGATCAGCTGCCTCTTGCACACCTCCTACCAGGGATGTACCCGCAAACAATGTACATGCCCTTGACCAGAATCGAACCTGGGACCTTTCAGTCCGCAGACCGACGCTCTATCACTGAGCCAAAACGGTTTTGGCTTCCCACTTGTTTTGATTCTTCTCTGTTCTCCCTCATTGCTAATGAAAAATTAGAGCTTGTCAGTAAATAAAAGTTCTTATTTCTCAGGACATTCATTCTGGTTCTTCGTATTTTTGTCAGTATGGGTAGGATGGGGATTGTTTCTTACAAACACCTAATTATCTAATGATCACTTAAGAATTTTCCTTAAATGCTTATAATTATTTTATGGGCTGTTTATTAAAAGTAATGATAATTGTGAGGTTTTGTTTGTTTGTTTGTTTTTTTGTTTGTTTGTTTTTTTAAGAATTCTAAACCACCTACATTAAAATACTTATAACTTTTTTTTTTTTTTTTTTTTTTTTTTTTTTTTTTTTTTTTGCCGAAACCGGTTTGGCTCAATGGATAGAGCGTTGGCTTGGGGACTGAAAGGTCCCGGGTTCGATTCCGGTTAAGGGCATGTGCCTTGGCTGCGGGCATATCCCCAGTGGGGGGTGTGCAGGAGGCAGCTGATCGATGACTCTCTCTCATCGATGTTTCTAACTCTCTTTCTCTCTCCCTTCCTCTCTGTACAAAACCAATAAAATATATTTTTTAAAAATAAAAAAATAAAATACTTAGAACCGTTTTAGACATGAGCCTACTAGGGTCCACATTATAGGGCGTAATAGCTAACACATTTATTTTTTGAGAAATTTTATCCCTCTAGAGCTCTAGTTTTATTTCTTAGATATTTATTTATTTATTTAGATTTTGTTTGTTTGTTTTATTCTAAAGCTTTGTTTTTTATTTTTTGGTAAGAATAAAAAGGTCATCATCCAGTTTCTAACTAAAGGTTTGAATTTTAGTGCATTATCTTCCTTTATTTTTCAGATTTACAATCTAATAATCACATTAATAGAGTAGTAAGTCATCCCACACTTCCTGTTACAATAACTGCTCATGAAGATAGACACATCAAATTTTTTGACAATAAAACGGGTAAGTAGGTTGTCTTTCTTTTCAGTCATATTAATAATTCTCTAAATTTGAAGTGTTGTAAATTTGAAGTGATCAAAAATGCTATTCTTTTGCTGAAACCGGTTTGGCTCAGTGGATAGAGTGTCAGCCTGCGGACTGAGGGGTCCTGGGTTCGATTCTGGTCAAGGGCGGCATGTACCTTGATTGCGGGCACATCCCCAGTGAGGGGTGTGCAGGAGGCGGCTGATCAATGTTTCTCTTTCATCAATGTTTCTAACTCTCTACCTCTCTCTCTCTCTCAATAAATATATATTTTTAAAAATGCTATTCTTTTATATAAAATATATTGCCTTTTCTGCTTCAAAATTGCCAAGTGAAACTATTTTAACTCAGATTTTTGCTTTAATTATGTAGTGCATTCATAATATATTTTATTGTTAAGTTTATAAGTAACACCTTACCTACCTATTATGATTTTTTTTCATTTCATATTAATTAAATATAAATCTTTCCATTTGAAATTATTTTCTTCATAGTCTGTTGTGATTTAGTATAGCAGAAGAGGTGTCTTTCTGGGGTTTGGCATTTCAAATATGTTCTTAAAATTATTTCTCAGTGAATAAAATGATGATTAGTAAAAATGGTTTTATTGCCATCCTCCCTCTATTTTTTGTCAGAAAACTTAACCATTTATATAGGAGTTAAATCAAATATTAATGTGGCCATAAAGTTTCTTTAAGGACCCTTGTTTCATTTGTAATTACCTGAGTACCATATAAAATATTGTTTGCTTTCTTTCAGGAAATTTAGTAGTTGTATTAAAAATAAAATGTGAGTTTCTAGAGCTGTTTTAATGGCAGAAATCAAGAAAAGGTGTTAATAAAATTTCACTTAATAAGTAAGGAGCTTACAGTCTCAAATTTATAAAATCTACCAATTTATTTTGTTATTGCTGTTAAGTAGTTTTAGTACCTTCTCTGTAGTGGGAAGAAATTGAAGCAGTGGTCTCCAAACACTGGAAAAATTCTTTTAAATCAACTCACTTTTACTCTCATATTCAGGCGCACACACACATACAACACTGAGTTCAGTTTATTGAACTTTTGTATCTGAAACATAGAAATCAATATTATGAATGGGTTTGATAAATATTTAGATTTTAACAACAGAAACACATTTAGCATTTGGTATTCTGCAGTGCACTGGCTACTGTCATATATAAGATGGGGTTTTTGCTTTCTGGGGCCTTATCTGCTGTCTGGGGAAAACAGGATGAGTGTATGTGTGTGCACTTGAACTCTGCTAGTTAAAGGGGGCTTCATAGAGTAAGGGTTTGAGCTTTGCCTTGAAGCAATGGTAAGATTTTTTTATTTTTTATGTGAAGAAGGTAGTAGGAAATTGCAGGTAAGGGCGTAATTTGATCAGAGGCTTGGTGGCTGACATGAGAGTTTTTTTCAAGCAAAGCCAAAAAGGTACGGTAAGTCTGGAAGAAGAAAACAGACTCTATTGAGAACTTCTCACAACCAACCTAAGAATAATGAATTTTCGTTTATGCTATGAACTATGAAAGCCCCTTAAAATATTTGAGCAGGGATTTCAAAATGGGTTTAAAAGATTATTTAAGTTGTATTATATGGTAGATCCTTGACTTTAAGGAATTAAAATTTTACAATATCTATTTTTTATTTCAGAGAGGTCTTTGGTGGTTCGTGATTTTTGGAAGTTTGATAGAGGCACAAATTAGAGTTGCATAAACTGTACTGAGACACTTGGCTAGTAAGTCTGAGAGAGAAAGGTGTAGGAAGTGCTAGAGAAGTTGGAGGAAGAAGGTTCTGAATAGATGGCGAACTCATGCAGCAGAATTTATTGACTACCTGCCAGAGTTCTTCTCAATGCTTAGTGAACAGAACAAAATGCCCTACCTTCCTGGAGCTTCATGGTATATCATTTACTGGGAGACATTGTTGTATTTGATTTACGTGTATTAACGTTTACTCTTCTAATGACTCATTAGGTATATATGATACTATCATTATTTCCATTTTACAATTGAAATAAAAGTCTTAAAAGAAATTAAATAATTAGTGCAGTGCTATACAACAAAGGAAAATTGCAGGGTTGGGATTCAAATCCATGCAGTTTGCTTCTAGAGTCTACATGGTTTATATTAGTTTGTTTCTTCTCCATTTCATAGTGGCCTATAATATTAATTGCCCAAGTTAAAGGGCTTAGATGCCAGGGAGGCTGTTAGAAGAGCAAATAATTAATCTTGGTGGAGGAAGAGGGGTGGCAGAGGCATGGGGCCAAAGTGAAATGGGTTAAATGTGAGAAATTACAAGTAATTGTTGCTGAAGGAGGGGTTAGATGCTTTGTGACTTCCGTGGTAACTTGTGGAAGCTCAGCAGCCAACTTGATTCAGCACGGGACCTCTTTATACATGATTCAGCCTGAAGGGGTATGAGGTCACTCATATTTTGGAAGTCACTATATAGAAAATAAGAGTTGACTCTAAATTGACTAATGTATCAGTAAAGATTAGTTTTAATGTACAGGCAGGAGAGTTGAAATTAAACTTGGAAAATTATTGCACCCCTAAAAAAATGGGGGCGATTTGCTAATTGGTTGAAAGAATCTTTGGTTTAAGACATCTTAAATTTAGGACATAGAGGGTTATTTCAGGAGAGAGGTCAGACCTAGATTGTGAATTAAGAGTTACCATCAGCCGAAACCGGGTTGGCTCAGTGGATAGAGCATCGGCCTGCGGACTGAAAGGTCCCGGGTTCGATTCCGGTCAAGAGCATGTACCTTAGTTGCAGGCACATCCTCAGTAGCGGGTGTGCAAGAGGCAGCTGGTCGATGTCTCTCTTTCATTGATGTTTCTTACTCCCTATCCCTCTCTCTTCCTCTCTAAAAAATCAATAAAATATATATTTTTTAAAAAGAGTTACCATCATAAAATTGACATTTTAAAGGAAGCTAATAGTGCTTTGAGATTATTGTCTGTGAGTCCACAACCATTTCATATCTAAGGTTTTTTATGTTGTTTGTTTTGAATAGGAATATTGAGAGGAACAAGTTCTAGAATTGATAATGAATTGTTGGATGTACTCCACCTCTTCCTCTTATTTCTAATATATAAAATGATTGATATTTCAAAGGATAAATGAATTTGATGATACTAAAATCATTAGGTAGGAATGTATTATCTGGTGATTTATTTATCATTAAACCTGTATGTAAAATAATCTTTACATCTCTTAATGAGAAAGACTTTTTCTGTTTTCATTTTAATTGCAGTCTCCATAATCTAAGTCTTTGATGCAATCCTATATTTGTTATATTTTCCACTGAATGTCAGATACTGTCAAAGTAACACAAATGTCTATTAAAAGTACTGGGAAAGTTCTGCATTAGAATTAAAATTCTCTTTCATATATTATTACTAGAGGCCCAGTGCATGAAATTTGTGCACTTGGATTGGGGGTCCCTCAGCCCAGCCTGTGCCCTCTCGAAGTCCGGAAGCCCTCGGGGGATGTCTGATGATGGAGAGAGGCCTAAGCCAGCAGTAGAACTTTTTTTTTTTTTTACAGAGAGGAAAAGAGAGGGATAGAGAGTTAGAAACATCATGATGAGAGAAAAATCATTGATCAGCTGCCTCTTGCACACCCCCCACTGGGGATGTGCCCGCAACCAAGGTACATGCCCTTGACCGGAATCGAACTCGGGACCTTTCAGTCCGCAAGCCAATGCTCTATCCACTGAGCCAAACCGGTTTTGGCAGAACATTCTTAGTGCTGCCATGGAGGCGGTGCTGCCACACTGCCGCTGTGCTCCCAACCATGAGCTCGACACAGGGCTTCTGGCTGAGCAGTGCTCCCCCTTAGGGAGCACACTGACCACCACAGGTTAGCTCCTGCATTGACTGTCTGCCCCCTGGTAGTCAGTGCACGTGATAGCAACCAGTCATTCTGCTGATCAGTCTCACGTGATAGCAACCAGTCATTCTGCTGATCAGTCGCTTTGCATATCATCCTTTTATTTTATAGGATAGGATAATTCATGAACTTTGAAAACATTATACTAAGTGACAGAAGGCAGACACAAAAAGTAAAATTTTGTTATATGATTTATTTGTATGAAGCATCCAGAATAGTCCAAACTATAGGGAGAAAAAGTAGATTAATGGTTACCAGGGACTTGGGGGAGAGTATTAGGGAATGGCTGCTTAATGGGTGTGTGGTTTCCCTTTGCAGTATTGAAAATGTTCTGAACTAGAGAATGGTGGTTGTTGCACATCATTGGGAATGTTCTAAAAGCCACTGAATTGTATCCTCTCAAATAGTTAAAATGGTAACTCTTATGTTTAGATGTATTTTACTACAATTTTTAAAATGTTATAGTGATTGTCTCTTTTATGTTCATGCTATTTTATGATTTCTAAAATACCTATCAAGTTAGTAAATATTTATGAAAACAATTATCTTCGTTATGTTTTATGTAGGTAAAATGATCCATTCGATGGTAGCTCATTTGGATGCTGTTACAAGTCTAGCAGTAGATCCTAATGGAATCTATTTGATGTCTGGAAGTAAGTCTGAATTTCCTATACTGCCCCCAAACTTTATAAAAGTATTGTTACTCAAAAACACTTTATTTGTTCTTTTACAGGCCATGATTGTTCTATTAGATTGTGGAATTTGGACAGCAAGACATGTGTGCAAGAAATAACAGCACATAGGAAGAAATTAGATGAATCAATATATGATGTTGCTTTTCATCCATCAAAAGCATATATTGCGAGTGCAGGGGCTGATGCCCTTGCCAAAGTATTTGTGTGAATCAACAAATACATCATAATAACAGATTTGCTTGAACAAAAAGAGGGTCTGCATCACTGCCATAAAAAACGGTTACTGATAAGACACTACATGTGATCTGCCTGGTGAAGGCTATTTAGGGCAGGCATAAGTTGGTGGAAATTAAATCTTAATGTCAGGTTCATTAATTTAATTGTAATTACTGTATTTGTGGGACAAAAAAAAAAAAAAAAGGACTCCAGTATTTGTGGCCTGTACTGGATACAAACTGAGCGTATATCTGTTTTTTAGGTATCTTTAAGCCAACGTGGAGTCTGATCTTACAAAGGACTTTTATTTTGGACTCTGTGTGCTGCCTTAGGGTTAGGGATGTGGTGCTCTTGTGGGGGGGAAGTGAGCTCCAAGAATAGTTTTTTTTCATCTCTTAGTGATCTTCTGTTTATCAGTTGAATGCCACAGATTCCCTTTTAAACTTATTTTGCTTTAAAAAAAAAAAAAAGAAGAAGAAAATTTAACTTAAAATATTTTAGCATTAGTTGCACAAAATGTTTGGATAAAATTCTAGTTTTTATAAGTCTTTTTTATATATTTAGCCTGTCACAACAGTGCTTAAGATTACATTGAAGTTTTTCTGCATTATACAACCCTAAAACACAGAGATCTCACTGACCTGCTGCTATGTAACCACACTCTTTCTTTTGCCTAATACAGCTCAGCTAAGTCCTTCCATAAGATGCTAAATCACCTTCATCATCACATAATTGTCTTCATAAACCAAGGACTATTAAGTATATTAAAATGAAATAGTGGGGTTGAGTACTCCAAATGAACGCTTAAAAAAAAACCTAACTAATCTTGGCATCCTATCACTATGTGATATTTTGTACATCTTACTGTATTTACAAGTTTATTTATCAAGGATTATCCGTCTTGCTAATAGCTTATTATTTATTTCATTTTTGTTGTTCTTTATATCCTTTTATTAATGTGCTAAAAGAACCTGTATATCTATTTTGGAACTCTTTAAATAGTCTAAAATAGACTAAAAATGGAATATTTTATAGTTTAAGTTACATACCAGGTGATTCTCCCCAGACACATATCTTGGTTTACCATGATTCCAAACAAAACTATCGTGTTTAAAAATATTGGGAGTAAAATATTATTTGCATTACAAATAGGATACAAAATAGTTGAATCAGGATACAGAAATTTGCTGTGTTTGGACTAGTTATCCCTTTTTATTTTTTTCAAATGTGCTTAATTTTATGGTGTATCAAAAGATTTTGTTTGTGTAATGCATGATTAAGACAATAAAATATTTTTTCTAGTCTTCCAAAAAACTTTTCTGATCAGTTTGCGAGTTTTGATGAGTTTTGTAAGGTTTTTGTTTTACAAACGATGAATCAGCAAATTTTTAAGATTGTACCACATAGCAAACATACAGCTGTTGAAAAATAATGTATATAAAATGCATATAATAAATATTAAATTGTGTACCTGTATGTTACTGTTGGCTACATTATTTTGTGTTGAATAATAAAGTGCAATACTTTACCCTCCATCATAAAACTAGGAAATAGAGATGATTTCCTCGGTGAGTCCATTTTTATGCTGTTCTTTTAAACTTTGTACTGCTTATTGATGTTCTAGCAAGATTAGAACAGTTAACACTATAAAGAATGCCTTTCTAAGTATTTCATCCCATTTGGGGATAATAAAATCTTCTGTTGAAATAAGTTATGTAATTCAAAAAGACCAAAAAAAGAAAAGACATGCAAATTTAAATCATTTCCTTAATCATCATGATACTTTATTAAATCTGAATTCAATTGGTAGTGTTGTCACTCCTATCTAGCCATATGTGTTTCCACAAAATGTTCAGAAAATAAACTGCATTATTCATTAATTAAAGGTGGTTCTTATAGTGTTAACTTACTATCTCAAAACTTTTCCTTCAATAATAAGGTAATATCTTTTTTCTTTGAAGGGAATTAATTGCACATGGAATTAGAAGGTAACATTAAAAAAACTTATATTGCAAAATTTTATATGAATGCCTTCTGCAAAAAAAAATAATTACATTGTGTGTACTTTGAGAAATTTTGTCATCTAGCATAAAGATCCAAATGGCTGTTTTAGTTGTTTTTGTTGAAACAAGGATTTCAGAAATCTTTAAAAATACTAGTTTTATAGCTTTCTGAACTGAAGATTCAACTTGATAAACAAAGGGGAACTTTTTAAAAATAATTTAAGAACAAGCTTTCCAGAGCTACTAGCATTTCTGGCAGTTATTCTAAACCAATGCATTACTGTTTAACTGGGAAATGTGGTTATCATTGCAGTGCATAAACATTCACCTCTTGGAATGTATTAAAACTGAAATAAAAGTTAGTATATATGTTTATTTTTCTATCTACTTTGGTTGTATTTTTCTCTATAATATTAAACATTTGGAAAAAGACTAAACTTACAAAAAGAATGCTTTATTTTTAGTGTGCTTCTAATTGTGACTTAATGTGAAGTTATATAGAATTTGTTTATTAAATGGTGCTTTATACATAAAGTTTAAGGATATGCAAACTTTAATATGTTGGCTTTTTCAATATTTAATCATATTTTTTGCCTTTTCATATTTTATTTACTCATGTCGTTTTTTCAAATTTCGATATAAGTTATCCACTGAAGATGAGTGTCTCATTTAATACATTGAAGGTTATAAATGGGCTAGTATATTTGAATTTTAGGCAGGCCTACAAAAGTTGGAATATAATCTTTTCAAAAATTTGTTTACTCTTTACTCCTATTTAGTTATTTCATTATTTTGATTACTAGAGACCTGGTGCATGAAATTTGTGCATGGAGGGGCGGGGGGGCGCGGGAGGGGGACAGTCTTCTGCCGACCTGCACCCTCTCCAATCTGGGAGCCCTGACGACCTAGGCCACTGCAGGGGCGCTCTGCAGCAGGGGTGGGACACTTGTCTCATTGTGAGCTTGTTCCCCAGTTGGTGGCGTGTAGGAGGCAGCCGACCAGTGATTCTCACCAATGATGTTTCTGGCTCTCCCACTCCATTCCTCTTGGAAATCAATGAAAATATATTAAAAATTTTTAAAAGAAAAAATGAATAAAACAAAGCGAAAAATGGCCATTCTCCATATCATTGTCCCAACCTCTTGAAATTCTGTTTCCTGGCAAGTGTCGACAGTTTGGCTCAAGTTAACTCATAAAAGTTCTCTACAGGTTTGAATATTTTTACATAAACACAACATATACACCTGATTTCTGAGGGTGAGGCAACAGAATCAGTCCACCTGGTCTGCTGTGAAACTGTAGAGGAGTCTGTTTTCAAAGAGAGAACAGAAGCAAACACTTTCCCTGTACTCTTTCCCACCCAGACAAGCCAATTTCTCAAACATCTTCCCTCCCCGAAGTTGGTGAGCTGTGGACTAAGGGTGGGGGAGTCAGAGAAGCCCGAGGCAAGATCACCAGAGAGCTTTCTGCATTTGAATGAAGCCTTGGAATGAGATCCATTGGAATGAACCGCCCTGACCTCTCCTCCCTCTTGTTTCCTACCCCACCCCCTACTTCCAGAGCCCAGGATCTGTCTGCTCCCAGTTGCCTCCCCAGCAGCGTCCAGCTCTGGAGGGTGCCAGCACCTTGCAGCCTGTGATGTTGCAGTCCCAGGGATAGCAACACCCAGCAACACCGGGTCCTCAGCCTGCCTCCAGGCACAGGAGGAAAGACAACTTAGGTAGCAAGCCTAAGGGACACCTGGGAAGGATGTGCTTGCTGAGCTTCCATGTAGAAGGCCACGTGCGCGCATTACCCAGAGGTCCTCGGGCCAGGGCGTCAATGAAGCAAGCATTCCACCAGGCTACTCATGCTGCCTGCTCTCAGCAGCCTTGCCCTCTGGATTAGGGGACTCCGGCAGGGCTGAGGGGACTGGGCACTGCCATCTTGTGGCTATGGACACCACCATCTTTGTGACAATAATGGTTAATTTGCATATTACCCTTTTATTAGGATGTATACTTACAAAAAATAACTAGTGACCCAATGCACAGATTTGTGCACATTGAAAGGAAATTAGAAAGTGGCCAGTGGGGTGGAACTGGGCAAGACTGACTGAACACGCCCTGGACAACCTCCCTCAGTTCCCCCTGGCTATGTGACTCCGACTCAAAGGGCTTCTGTGGAGTGAGCCAGGTCCCTCCAGCAGGTGAGGTCCATTGGCCTGGCCTATGGAGTTGAGGCCGAAACTGGCTCTCTGACATCCCCAGAGGGGTCCCGGAGTGTGATAGGACACACTGCAAAGTTGCTGTCTTACTGGGTGTGGAACACAGTGTGCAGTAAACCAGATTTGGGGCCGGCAGTGCCTCAGCAGCAATATAACCCAAGGCTGACGGTGGAATCGCGAGGCCCCAGGAGGAATCGGCTCCCTCCTCTCTGGTTTTGGGGTACATCACCGAAGAACCGCCACTGCCAAGTCACTGCAGCTCAGCAGCTCCTGCAGTGAACATCTGCCCCCCCCCCTGGTGGTCAGTGTGAGTCATAGCTACCAGTTGGACACTTAGTATATTAGCCTTTTATATAGAGAGACTGATAGCAACTTGACAAAGGGCTCATTTCTGCTCCTTTCCCGCTCTTGAAGTCAGTCAAAATATTAGTTTCCCTGGTTACCTCAGATAACCTCAAAACTTTGTTCTTTATAGAATTAAAGGTAAAGCATTTTTAAAAAGGCTACAGACTAGAAGCCAGGTTTTCACTAAAGCTTATATTTTTAAGAAGTGGTACTCTTGGCTGAGAATTTGCTTTATGCACTAGGAGGAAATCATGTCAGACCCATTTTAGTTATTTGGAAATCTGCCACATGAATTCATATTTGCCACAGTTTATAAGGTGGAGAGGTTTAGTGTCTTCCCAACTTGATTTTATCAAATTTTTATCTAGTGTCAAAGGCAATTTCAGGTATGCCTCTTCAGTACATAGTCTTTTCATTCCTTTTCCACAAACTAAAATTGTTAGACTCAAAAGATTAACTGGAGTATGTATATTATTCCAACTAATTAACACCATTTTGGGATCAACCGATTGTAAATCATCCAGACAGGCTCAGTGATTGTGTCACAGGAGGTAAGGCACGCAGTTGATTGAGGGAGGGTGGGTCCTGTCTTGAGAGAAGGTAAGCAAGATGCTCTACCTGAGAGGAGAGCTCTTGGGGAGTAATGACAATTACATTACTGGAATTCTCAACACTTCGCAGGCACCAACTTCACAGGCACATTTAAGTAAAACTAATGCCAATTATAAAACACTTATGTACTGTTTATCTGGTGGTGGCTGTGTATGGTGTCTAGAAGAGTAGGCAGTCAATAAATGATAGAAAAAAGCATAGTCTTATTGCATGATTTTAAGAAAAAATTCAGTTGGCCTTTCTGTATAAGTTATTGAATGTAGAATTTTTACCATACCCTAGGGAGATACACTTAGGAAAATAAAAGGCAGCTTGAATAGTCACTAGCAGTTTTATTGCTTAAATATAGTCAAACTGACAATACTTTTCCTGCAGTTCTCCTATTTGAAATATGTGCTTTTCTTTAAAGCTATATGTAAGTGGTAAGTAAAACTTTACCAACTTAACATTTTGTACATGGATGGCTTTAGCATACAAGCCATATATATCCAGACACATAAAAATTAAGGATTAGATAAATAGAAAAATACTAGGAAGTCCTGCTATCCTGTTGTGTGATAACTTACTGTGAAAATACGCTACAAAATAAGCTCGATAGCCAATTCCTTCCATTTCATCACTAATTATAACTTTAGAATACTAAATAACATCTACTTGGGTCAAGATGTTTAAGTTTTTTCTTATATATGCTTATATGTTTAATACAGAATGATAAAAGGAATGTTGCTTTTGGTCTAAATATCAGATTCTTTTATTGAGCTGTGGAATTTTCATATCTGCATTTAATACATATTAGAATAAAACTCTTAAATGTTTTAATCCATGACATATCCCTTTTCCTGAGTTTCTAAGGGTCATGATTATGAAGCCTCAGCAGAGTGAACAGTTAAGTCTAAATTGTAATTAAAAGCTAATAGCTTTAAGTGAATGCTTATTGGCTTAAAATAGCAGTTGGCTCTCAAATATAGTTTTGTATCTGATCCTCGGATGCTCTATAGTATTTCGGTATTAGAGAAGATAGCGTATACATTATATCCTCTTGCAATTTTTCTTTCAGTTGCCACAACGTCACCGTTATTGCTGGGATTCTAAGAAATCTCTACAGATGCCCCTGATGACGTCAGAGACGATGGGTTCCAATCCCGTGAACTCCCTGGTGAAGAAAGCGTGCGACTCCTTTGGTTTAGAGGCCATGTCCCTCAGGTCATCCAGAGGTGCCCACGCCACGCCGACAGAGAAGATGGTGATGCCTGCAATGGAAACATTTTTAAGGGAATGTAAACCCAAGTTCCAGCTTACATATAACATCACACATATTTTTCATATATTAAGACACAGTTGCAGAGAAAACTACCTGGTAATGTCTGAAGAACAAAATCCCCTACAGCAGGTTGTTAGGTAAGTTTTTAACAGTCATGATGAAAATGGCTGAACAGTTTGGTCAAAACCAGAAGCTTTACTGTCAGTGTAATTACCATATTAACAGGCAAATGATCACTGACAGAAAAAAAACACACACATTTTTTAGTGAAGTTCAATATCCATATGATAATTAATAGAAATAACGTGATAAACATCTTTAACAAAAACAAAAACCCTGCAGCAAACGTATTTAGTGAAATGATGAAAATTTTGCTCTGAGATTGGCAGGAGCTTGGTATGCCTGCTGTCATCACCTCCATTAACCATGATGCTGGAGTCAGGCCATTCTAATTGGGTAATAAACTGGCACAAGAGGTGGGGTACAGAAGTGGTGAAAGTTGTCTGAGGCTGCATTGTCAGGGAATGGTGACTGGTCGTCTGTGAATAGTAACTCTTCCGCTGAAGTCTGTACATTACATTGGCAAACTGACTAGTAAGAAACTGTCAGCCTTTAATCCCAAAGCAAAAATCTGGTGATAAAAATAGCCCTTGCAGGATAGCTCAGTTGATTAGAGCATCATCCTCATATATCAAGGTTGTGGGTTCAATCCCTGGTCAGGACACATACAAGGGCCAGTCAATGCATAGGTAAGTGAAACAGCAAATTGATGTTCTCCCCTCCCCTCCCCTCCCCTCCCTTCCCCTCCCCTCCCCTCCCCTCCCTTCCCCTCCCCTCTCCTCTCTATATAATCAATAGAAATAAAGCCAAAAACAAATGCCCGTGAAGCTGGAATTTCCTGTTACATTGAGGCATTCCATCTGCATTCCCTTGAGCTACTAGAAGGCTTTTATTCTAACTGTACGTTTTTTGTCAGGGTGCTTATTCCATTAGTTTGATTCACTTCAATCCCAAATGTAAAAGCAGTGGCTTAGTGGGTTCTTAGTGTACTGTCTTATCTTCTGGGTGAAATTCCCCATAACATGTTGGGAGTTTCTGCAATAGCTACTCCCCTCCTTCATTCCCCTTCTAGTGGTATACAGTGCTCAGAGTTGTGGAAGCCTAGGATACAAATGAAGCAGGTTTAAATGATACAAAAGCTATTTCAAACAATTTCGGATTTATCACCACCAGCCAGTCCCTCTCTGGCAAGAGAAAAAAGTAAAAATTTTCCTCCCCCTTAGTTTTTCTCACTTTTAATTCTGCATTCAAGCCTAGATTGTTGAGCTCAGGCCCAGGGTACACTCATAGTTAAAAGAATAGAATACAAAAATGGTTGTGGCCAGCACCGGTTGGCTCAGTGGTAGAGCGTCGGTCTGCGGACTGAAAGGTCCCAGGTTCGATTCCGGTCAAGGGCATGTACCTTGGTTGTGGGCACATCCCCAGTAGGGGGTGTGCAAGAGACAGCTGGTCGATGACTCTCTCTCATCAATGTTTCTAACTCTCTATCCCTCTCTCTTCCTCTCTGTGAAAAATCAATAAAATATATTTTTAAAAAATGGTTGTGACCTAGCCCAGAAAGTCTATTTTCTGGCTTTTGTTAACTAGCAATAATATTCATGAAAAGTTCAATTCATCACAGAGAAAATATATTTGAAATAGACTAGTTCACTTTAGTTAGCCTGAATCCAATCCTGTTAACCATAACTTAGTTTCGTCATCTACATTTTTAAGGAGTATGATAGGAAAGAGGTCTTCAACATAGGCTAGTTTGCTGACATATAAAATGAGACAGATGTTTAAAAATTAGTCATGTATCACTTAAATTACATGTATCAGTTCTACTTAATAAAAATATCCACTAATGTTTAGAAAATATACAAATGCATTAGCAGAGGTGCTAATGTACAAAAAAAGAAAAAGGTTATTCACAAACAGGGGAAAGGAAGTGCAGAAGAGTACAGAAGAACGGGAGGCTGCTAATCCCCCTCCCAAGTCAGCATTTTTGTTTTTTAAATATTGGACTCCAGTCCCTCGGTTTCAGCCCGGGAAAGGGAACCCTCAGCTATGTGTTGGCCTATTTGATCTCAGCAACACATGCTAATGTCTTCAGGAACTAGCGGCCTTTGCCAAAGTAATATCAAGGCTGGGGTAAGAGAGAAAGAGCCCCTTTTATATTCTCTCAAAACATCAGAGTGTGTTTTCATTGTCAAAAAAAAAAAAAAAAGACACTTAGAAAATTTAGATGGAATAGAATTTAAATTTCATTGGTGACCTTATCATCTTAGAAAGCTCACCCAGCCTGAAAACTACTAAAAAAAAAAAAAGTTAGGATACATTTTCAAATAGCAGATTCACAGTAAATTATGATAAATTGTGACTAGGGGATGGAGATGGCAAATAAATTCCAAGTTTGAGTCAAATGTGGGAACCTATCACATATCCCATGACATGTGACATGGTGGTTCTCATGGTATTTTCCCAACAATACAGTGGTCAGGAGGAGTATGGACTCAGACGGCCTGGATTTGAATACTGGCCTGACTTAATGTGTGTTTGGGGGGAATTTCTTATCTGGAATGACATTTGTAGAGCTGCCTTGACAATCGAATCAGTTGATATTGGGTAAAGCTTTTAGAACTCGACTGTGGCATTGTGGATGTTTGTCCAATGAAATCCATGCTTACGTTTACTTCTAAAATTTACCGCGTCCCCTCCTCAGTCTCCCTTCCCCGAGGACAAGGGAGGGCCTTACCAGCATCGTGTGCGGCGGCAGCAGGGCCTCGGACATCGTCATAGGACTGCCCGTCGGTGACCACCACCAGGAAGTTCTTGTTGGGGCTGTCCCGCATGGGACCAAACACGTTTCTCACGGTGAAAGAAATGGCATCGCCGGTCGCGGTCCCACCACTCATGTAGCGGATGTTTCGGATCACCGCGAGGACGTTCTCCTTGGTGCTGTAGTCGGTGAACGTGAACTCTGTGCGCTGGTCGTAGGTGAACTGCACAGCGGCTATCTTGGCACCAATGTCCGAGATTTCAAAAGTCTGGGCTATGTTGGAGACAAATTCGAGCATGGTGCGGAAGTTACTCTCCCCGACGCTGCTGGAGCCGTCGATTAGGAAGGCGATGTTCACGGAGTTGTAACAGGTCTTGCTGCACATCATTTGCTCGTGAGTGCAGAGCTTCTGCACCAGAGGCTTGACGTACTTTGTGGTGCCAAACCAGTTGGGCATGTGGTAGGAGAAGAAGCCGTTATTCCGACAGACAGCCTGATGGGGCGGGGGAGAGAACAGAAAGATATCCAAAGGGGTCCGACATTGTCTCTTCTTAAAAAAAACTAGGAAATCTCGAACGTTCAAAGTTAATCCAGATACGGGCCAGTTCGGCACTATGCCTCGAGGTCCAAAACTGAATCCCTACCGTAACAGACGACACCCCTCACCTCCCTACCTTATCGATAAAGGCGACATCCTGAACCATCCCCAGTTCTTCGGGGATAGGCTTGGCCACAGAGACTATGAACACGTTGACACCGAACTCTCTGGCCACGATGCCTGCTTCCTCGATGTCATCAGAAGGCCAGCCGTCGATAAACACCACCACCACTTTGGGGATCCCCTTTCTCACACCGGTTTCTGGTGTGAAGAATTTCTGGGCGGTGTGCTTCAAGGCTTTTCCTAGGAACGAGAAAGAAGCAAACTGGACCACCACCGCTGCTCAAATGGCATTTCTGTTTCCCTGTACCAACCTGATGCCACTTCGTTTAGGAATTTTAACATATAGAGCCTGGTTCTATAACAGAACCAGGTGGGAAAGTTTAATAATCTGTCAGGCCAATTCTGTCTTCACCTACCCTATCACTTCCCGAAAGCCTCCCCTTTTCCCCTTTTCCTTTCATTACATCAGTCATCAGCCAGAAACACAACACTCCCGCCCCGGTACCCATCTCGGCCCTGTGACTGATTAGAACCACTAAGGACTCTGATAGATCCTTCCTTCCTCCAAATGATGGAAAGCCCACCTGTGACCAGACATTCACGAGCTCTGAACCACCAATCAGCACCTGCCAAATACCCTAAGCCCCCATTCCTAAGTCCCTAGGTCCCTAATCACCAATCAGCGTGTGCTGAGTGCCCTAAGCCCCGCCCCCTATCCTTAAAGGTGCTTGTATCCTGGCCCTCGCTCTCTTCTGACCCTCTCTCTGTGGAAGCAGCTGGCAGGGGTACTCTTCCCTCCGATAAAGCCTGTGTGTGTCCTGCCATCCCGGTCTCTGGCTACCTTCTCTATTTAATCTATCAGACTCAGAATAAGAAGTCTCCTTTCTGAGGGTCCACAGAGCTCTCTAGTTCTTTCTACCACATCTACAGTTATTAGGTGAGTCTGTTGGTCTTTACTTCCTTTTAGCATTCCAAACAGGTACTTGCCTAAAGTGACATCTGCCCCCTTCATTATAAGGTTATGGGTCACAATGCTTTATTATTATTTTTTAATAAATAAAATGAACCCTTTGGTATATTTTCCATTAAAAATTGAGCACCTCAGATGATCAAGTGCATGCTAGCCAAGATTCCAGAACAGGAAGAAGCGTTTCGCATCTCCTTATGTAAAATAGCACAATACTGTTTAACGTATCAAATCATTCATAACCTCTGTGTTACATCCCAGGTGCCAAAGTTTACTTACCTGTATTGGAATTCCCCCCTCGGAAACCTACTTCCTTTATGGCAAACAAAACATCTTTGGCTGATGTAAAGTTTTTCAAGTAAAATTCTATTTTGGGATGTTCACTATGTGGAAAAATGAAGAAAAACAAAGTTAGAATTGGAAAAGGAAAAGGAGCAAATTATATACCTTAAACAAACTTTAAAGTGGACAATGTCCACGTTTCTTAATTACATGATCCACTAAGACATTGCATCTTTACTTGAATTTTTAGGGACCCTTTCAAAAATGTAACAAAAACAATTGCTATCTTAAGGTTTACTATAGTCTGGGTAATGTGCTATATATTATGTATAATCTTATTTCATAATTTTCACTCTATGAGATAGAAATTATTATCCCTATAATATGTGAAGAAACAGGCTCCAAACATTTAGGCAATTTCCCCAACAAAACAGCCACGCCTTAAGTTCAGATTCGTTTGGCTCCAAAGTCCAGATCTAATCTATAAGGAGCCCTGAAGCCAGGCCTGGCTCAGGGCACTGGCTACACCAAAGCTGCCTGCTGTGAGGCTGGGTCTGCTCGGGGACCTGGCAGCACTGAACCGTGTGTGTCTATTAACCCAGGCCTCTGGTCAGAAGAGGCAGCGACAGGGACACTAAGGCCAACATTTTTAAAATAGGAAGTTATGAGGAAGCAAATGATAAAATGTTACAATATTGAGGTTTTTCTTCTAATAAATGATGCTGACATTTACTAGACTTAAAATTATGTGTATGGCAAGAGGTTGAGATTTTCCATATTTAATAGCAAAAAGAAATCATGGCTCACTTTTAGAACTACTCCGTTCATTAAAGGCCATGTTGAGTAAAAAACAGTTAAAGCACAGTTTGTTGCACTGTTTTACATAAGTCAATATTCCAAAAGTGCAAAATTTTCAGATTGTAGTATTATCAATTGCCACTAAGATTGTTGAGGGCCAGCTGTAGCTCTGATTGTCTTGCTGCATGCCTGATGCCGTGATTTCTGTACACCTGGTGGGAGGCTGGGTCACAAAGTCAGATGTCATGGGGTGATAACCTTTTCACTTTTATGGCCACTTCTCAACTACCCAAATTACGATTATGAAATTGAGTCTTCTTTTGCATCCTTAATGATATATTGTTGTTCTGCTTAAATAGAAACTTTTGATACAGCTTATTCTAATGTTCTTCTTAAAATAGAAAAAACCATAAACAAGGGCTTTTATAGAAAATCTAGTCTTTATATGAGTCTTCAGGGTAGTGTAGTTTTTTCATCTTGAAAAATAATTGGGTAAAATCAGCAAAGGAAATATGTATGAAGAAAAACACTGTGGGGAATTTGCCTTATGGGATGAAAGTACAATAAAGTGACAAAAGTCAAAGCATTGTAGAAAAGATGTAAAAAGTAGCAAATGGATCAAAGAAACAGACTTGCCTAAACTTGCATATAAGATTATCACAAATCAATGGAATAAAAAGCTCATTTTTAAAAAGTGTTGAACAAATGGTTAATAAAGTAGAAAACAACAGTTACATTCTCACACCAAAAAAAAAAAAAAATCTAAATGAAGAACCAATTACAAAAAATAATATAAGAACAAATTAAATATAAATTAATATCTATAATAATACTGGAGAAAACCCTTAAAAATGACAGCAGTGTAAACTGGATCAACTTTTTTTAAATTTTTATTTATTTATTTTTTTAATATATTTTATTGATTTTTTTACAGAGAGGAAAGGAGAGAGATAGAGCTAGAAACGTCGATGAGAGAGAAACATTGACCAGCTGCCTCTCGCACACCCCTCTACTGGGGATGTGCCCGCAACCAATGTACATGCCCTTGACCGGAATCGAACCCGGGACCTTTCAGTCCACAGACCAACGCTCTACCACTGAGCCACACCAGTTTCAGTTCAACTTTTTTTTTTTTAAATATATATTTTATTGATTTTGTACAAGAGGAAGGGAGAGAGATAGAGAGCTAGAAACAACGATGAGAGAGAGTCATCCATCAGCTGCCTCTTGCACACCCCCCACTGGGGATATGCCCGCAACTAAGGTACGTGCCCTTGACCAGAATCGAACCCGGGTCCCTTCAGTCCCCAAGCCGACGCTCTATCCATTGAGCCAAACCGGTTTCAGCTGGATCAACTTTTTAGAAAGCAATTTAACTGTTCATTCAGAGTCCTTAAAAATGTCAGAACCCTCTGACCCAACTTCCAGGAATCAACTCTCATTCAAGACGGTATACAGAAGTCATAAGGATGTTCATCACAGCGCTTGGTGTGATGGTGAAGAAGCAGTAGAAGAATGGCTAAGTAATCAATCATGCAGAGTAACATGAAATATTATTTTCTGAAGAATTTTTGTGACATGGTAAAATGCTCAGAATAGTCAGGGATGGATAAAACAGGATATAAGACATTTTTTGCAGTCTAAACGTTTAAAAATCAAGAAATACCCTCATAGCCCTAGCCAGTTTTGCTCAGGGGATAGAGTGTCAGCCTGGGGACTGAATGGTCCTGGGTTCGATTCCGATCAAGGGCACTTGCTCGGCCCTCAGTGGGGGTTGTACAGGAAGCAGCCAATCGATTATCTGTCATCCTTGGTGTTTCTATTTATCCCCCTCCCTTCCTCTCTGAAATAAAAAAGTGTATGTTAAAAAAAAAAAAAAAGAAATACCCTCATAGACAATCAAATATTTTCTTAAAACACTGAAAAGAAAAAAATATTCTACAGTGATTATCTCTGGAGGTTATATTTGGGATTTTTCTTCTTTATGCTTTTATGTTTTTTAAGCTTTTTATGATGCACAGCAATAAGTACTATTTTTAAAAGACTAAAAATTAAAAGATCAGGCTTCATATCTCCAATTAAGGGAATACTGAGAAAACTAAAAAGAATATAACAGTATAGGGAGGAGTTACCGAAATACCACTGCCTGTTCTACCTTCAGCAAAGAGAAGTGAAGAACTAAGCAGAGGAGATATGCAGAGGTAATCTGTATGAGGAACAAACCTTTCAGTCCACAAATAGCATATACTTCTCTACGCCCTTTTCTCCAAAAATGAAATACTTAGACTTATCCAGTCTGCTTGGGCAATCCTAAATCCTGACTTTATAGTTTGGGAATCCAGACTGTCCACAACTCAGTATGTTTATACTGAACTGAAACAAATGTACCTATTAAAAGGACTATTTGTCATCATTCACGTATTCTCCCATCATCACAAAGTTGATACCTGGCTTGAACAAGGCCCACGTGTGGTCCTTCCGTTCCAATTCCCAGCATTAGAGCCACTTTCCCAACAAAATTCTTCTGCAGGTTAAATCGGCGCTGCCCAATATTAAAACTTCCATCAATCAGAAATGCAATGTCTGCTTTACAGTCTGTGAAAACCCAAACAAGACTTTCGGTGAGCAGTTCAAGAGGGAAGGAGTTATTTTCCCAAATGGCTGTCGGGGTTCTTACCTTTATTCCCAGCTTTCTTGTTGGGTGTTTTCTTTAGTCGTTTACCTGGGGGGTGGGGGAGTTGGGGGGAGAGGAAGCATTTGTCATCAGCAAATGGAAAACAGTTCCATAGCTCATGACAAGTAGTGCCATTTTTAAAAGAATTTGTGTTTTTGAAAATTTATTTCCTTATGATTTTCTGGACAGGGGAAGCAATGCCCCAACAATGAAGGCAGTAGTGTATAAGGCCTACGTATCTGTATAAGGCCTTTCCCGTGCTGTGTGAGGCAACGTAGGCTCTGTATTCATACCTGCTGGTGGCTGTGCTGTGGACACGGCTTGTCCTGTGGCTTCCTGGGTAGCAGTTTTGCCTTCTGTTAAAATAAAGAGGAGGCTATTTTTCCCTCTTCCTTTTTTATCGTTAAAGCACAACGAATCTAAGTTAGAGTCTTAAAGGACGGTACATAGAACACAGTGATGGCAAATTTCAGGAGCAACTGCTGCATTCTTGTTTCAGAGAACCAAAATGGATTCTTGCATATTAGGTCTTTTTTTTTTTTTTTTTAAGAGTGAGAGGGGGAGAGAGAAACATCAATTCATTGCCTCCCATAGGCGCCCTGGCTGTGGGTTCAAACCCACAACCTGGGGATGTGTCCTGACCCGGAATTGATCCTGTAGCCTTTTGTTGTAAGAGATGATACTCCAACCAACTGAGCCACACTGGCTAGAGCAGGTCATGTTTTGGAAGGATCGCCAAAAATGATTCAGTGTTACTTGGTAAATGTCAGGGCACCTATGGGGTTCTAGACCACTCAAGTTCCTATTGCCCTCCTCTGACAGCAAGATTATTCTCCCCCCGTTTCCCAAGTTTGGCTGGAGTGGGTCCTTGACTCTTTGGGTCCCCTGACTCCAGAGCCCATCGTGGGCCCCTGACCACAGGTTTTGCCATCAAAAGTTAAAGATGTTGGGCTGAGAAAAGCAGAAAGGGTTTTGTTGTTTTGGGAGGCGGGGCAACGTTTACACAAAAGCAAGAACAGAATGTACGCACTCGTCACGGTGAAAGAGGCGGACCACCTGGAAAGCGTCTGAGACTGGATGCCATTGGCCACGACGGAGGAGTAGTTTTCCCGACCAGGGAGGCTGTAGACCCGCACAGGCCCCCCGGAGCTGCCGATCACCCCCCTGCAACACAGGACGGACCCCTGAGACCCCCACGCTCTTCAGGGACCCGGCTGCCATCTGTGCCCGGCCGCACCTGTTATCCGATTAGTCAGGAGAACAGTTCAGCGGGAAACCCATCTAAGAGTGCTTCCAGCCTTTTTTTATTTAAAAAAAAAAACACAAACTTGCTTACACAGGTACAGCATCTGCCTGGGAAGACGGTTTTGTGCCCTCACGCTTAAGTGTTGATAGGAACACACTTGTCGTAGGTTCCCTCTTCTGTAAGGTGGAGTAAGATTGTACCTACCTTTGTACGGAAGCAGAGCTGTCATGGGATTTCAAAACAATGGCTGGCACATAGTAATGTATTGCATGATTAGCAATGTTTTAGAATCACAGAGAGCTAGCTATCAAGAAATAATGCCACTGGCCACTGGCCAGCAAGCGTCCCTTGAGTAGCGGGTGTTCAAGGACAGTCAGGAAAACCTCGGATGCCTATGACGGCGCCACAAGACAGCGAAGGTGGGGGACACAGCTGGCCAGAGAGGGAGAGGACACAATCGCCCGGGCGCTTCTCTCCCCTTGGCACGTGCGGGCTTACTTGTGGACAGCGGCACCGCATATGCTTGACACAGAAGCATAGACTATGTTCCCAAACACTGAGAACTCCTCGAGAGGGCAGTCGCTGGGGCAGAGCACATCTATTTTCTCTTTCCTGATGTCCAGGCCTCTGGTAAAGCACGTGATAGCGACGGGCACTGAAGAGGAAGGAGAGAACGTAATAACATTTTGGGCAGAGGGGGTGAGAGGAGATGAGATTGGCGTGTTACTTCCCGGATTTCAACACTTCTTGTTAGGAATATTGACTTACACACTGTCCCACACCATTACAGATTTTAGCAAGCTGAAACTCTGTTTTCCAATTTAACCTCGTCCTCAGCCACTATGAAGTCTAATGGGAAAATGTTCTCAGTTCTTATCAGTTTGAAAATACATAATTGGAGAGTTAGAGGGGTGAGAAGAAATAAACCAAAGAACTTATATACTTACTAGAGGCCTGATGCACAAAAATAATCGTGCACTGTACGGGGAGGGTGAGGGGTGGGGATCTCATAGTCCAGGAGCCCTTGGGGGATGTCTGACTGATGGCTGAGCAAGCCTAGGCCAGCAGTCGGACATCCTTAGTGGGAGCACACTGACCACCAAGGGGCAGCTCTTGAACTGAGTGTCTGCCCCCTGGTGGTCAGTGCGCATCATAGTAACCAGTAGTTCCATTGTTCGGTTGATTTGCATATTAGCCTTTTATTATATATGATATGCATAAGCCCATGGACACAGGCAATAGAGTAGTGAAGACCTTGTGTACCTGGTGTTCAAGGATATGGATATGAGGGGAGGTGTAGGAGCTGGGAGATATCTGTAATACTATCAACAATAAAAATATATTTAAAAAATAAAATACACAATTGAACTATATCAGAACTAGAAAATAACACTCAGTGGCCATTTATTAATTTGTTCTAGCAATATAAAAATCTCACTTCTGATGACAACTGTGTGCATAGCTGCCTGAAGGGATGGCATTAAACCGGGGTTGAGCCTGTGAGGGACATTTTCACAGACACAAGCACAAACCTAAGTCATCCTTTGCATCAGAGGCACATTTATACCAGCTTTCCTCCAAACACAGTGCCTTTCAATTATATCACTGTAAGCAAATCAGTAAAACGATGCTCAATCACTAATTTTACAAATGAAGAAAGGAAAGCCCTGGGTTAACCCAAGGTCACACAGCCCGCAGGATAATCTGCAACCCTTACAGGACAGGAAACGGGGAAGCTAGTGCCTTCAGCATGGCACCTGCGTATGCCTGTTCCAGAGACCCGTCTCCCGCAGTGAATGCATTTTTGGAAAGCACGGTTAACACCGTCAAGTTTTACAAAAGAATCTAAGTTTTCACTCTAAGACAAGCCAATGGCAACATGTGACAAGATACTGTAACACAACATGTTAATTCATTAATTCACTATAAATATTAAATTTATTTATTTTTAATCCTCACCCTAAGATAAGTTTTATTGATTTTAGAGAGGGGAAAAGAGAGAGGGTTTTTTTTTTTTTTTTTAACTGATTTTAGAATTTAAAAGGGTGGTGTTCTGTTTTGCTTTTTATTGATTTAGGGAGGAGGAGGGAAAGATTGACTGTCTGCCTCCCACAAGCCCAGGACCCCAGACTGAACCCCTAACCTTTTCATGCAGGGAGGCTGCTCCGACCACTGAGCCCCTGACCAGGCAGGACCCACCCCGAAGGGCCTCGGTGAGGAGCTGTGCCCTGCGCTGTAAGGCCCGCGGCAGGGAAGGCAGGATGCCAGGTGCACTGCCAGGCCCCTGGCTCTGAGACACTGTAGGGTGCTCGGGAAATGGAAATCTTTACCAAAAACAGTAGCCTCATACCTTTTACCAAACAGCCTTAGTTCTTCCTCCCGTTCTCAGTGGCATCACACACACTATTATACCTTCATCTGTCAACACTGACTTGAGTGAGCGTGTGTGTGTGTGTGTGGGGGGGGGGTACAGGGGGAGGGCTGCGTGGGGCTGAACACAGCCGGGTGCAAGCCTTACCCTCATTTCTCCTTTCAAGGAAAACAAAGGATACACTCTGGAGAAGAGTTTGCCTTTTACTTGGTAGGAAACACACCTCACCACACAGCCATGCTCGGACTTGTGCACAGGAGCAAACTCGAACCGGACTCTCGGATGCTGGGGCTCCCTCCTAGGGGCACAGCCCGGGGCCAGCCCCTCTCCCGGGAGCCGGGCCGGGGGGCTTCTCCCGGCTCCCGAGTCTGCGGGCGCCGGGACTAGCGGGGCCCCCCCTTCCCGGGGCTCCACTGACACCGGGGCAGGGTGTGGACGGGTAGGGGCTTCCTTCTCCGTGGCTGGGAAAGAGCGCCCCCTCGGACCGGGGGCCCCCGCGCGGAGAAAGGGTGAGCCGGGGTGGAGGGGCCCTGGCGTGGACGGGGGCGCCGGGCAGCCCTCCACCGGCTCCTGCCCCCGCGGGGCCGCGGCCCGGGCCGCACCTGAGCGCACCCCGCCCGCCGCCTCGGCCCGCCAAGGCCCCGGCCGCCCGCTCCTGCCGGCACCCGGCTCCCCGCGCCCCGCCGGCGCCCCATCCGCCCGCCGCCCCATCAGCCCGGCACCCCATCCGCCCGCCACCCCATCCGCCCGCCACCTGCTCCCCGCCGGCACCCCGTCAGCCCGCCACCCCACAGCCCGGCACCCCATCCGCCCGCCACCCCATCAGCCCGGCGCCCCATCCGCCCGCCACCCCATCCGCCCGGCACCCCATCCGCCCGGCACCCCATCCGCCCGGCACCCCATCCGCCCGCCACCCCACAGCCCGGCACCCCATCCGCCCGCCACCCCATCCGCCCGCCGCCCCATCCGCCCGGCACCCCATCCGCCCGGTACCCCATCCGCCCGCCACCTGCTCCCCGCCGGCACCCCGTCAGCCCGCCACCCCACAGCCCGGCACCCCATCCGCCCGCCACCCCATCCGCCCGGCACCCCATCCGCCCGCCACCCGCTCCCCGCCGGCACCCCGTCAGCCCGCCACCCCACAGCCCGGCACCCCATCAGCCCGCCACCCCATCAGCCCGCCACCCCATCAGCCCGGCACCCCATCCGCCCGCCGCCCCGCGCCCCGCGCCCCGCGCCCCGCGCCCCGCGCCCCGCGCCCCGCGCCCCGCCCGCACTCACCGGCGCCCTGGCCGCCCGCGCGCTCGGGCAGCAGCAGCCCCGCACCTGCGGAGAGAGGAAGACGGGCTCCAGCCTCCGCCGCCCGGCGGGGGGCAGGGGCGGGGGGCGCTACCCACCGAGGCAGAGGAGCGGGAGCCAGGCTGCGGCCATGGTGCCGGCGCCGCTGGACCCGGGGGGGCGGGGGGCTCGGGAGGACGGGCTCCGGCTCCGGCAGGGACCCCGCGCCTCGGCTTCCAGGCGCCGGCGGAGCAGCGGCCCCGGCGCTGCCGCCCTCTCGGTCCGGAGGCTTCGCTCCCGCGGCCGATCGAGCCCGACCCAGAGCCGAAGTGCAGCCCCGGGCGGAGGGCGGAATGCGCGGACGGACAGACAGGCAGACAGACAGACAGACGGGCCGCCGGGGGCGATAACGGAGCCGCACGGACTGGCTGGGGCCCCGCACCTGAGCCGCACCCGCCCGCTGCGCTGAGTGCGGGGAGCGGCGGCCGCGGCCGCTATAAGGCGGGGCGCGCGCATGGGCGCTGCGCGGGGCGCGGGGTGGGGGTCCCCGGGGGCAGGGGCGGCGCCCCGCTCCCCCTCCCCTTCCCTCTCCTCCCTCCTCTTCGCTCCCCTCCCCTCTCTCTCCCCTCCCCTCCCCTCCCCGCCCGGGGTGAGCCCGCGCCCAGGCGCCTCCCCCCCGCGGCGCGGGCCCGGCCACCTGGGCGCCTGGCGGGGCTCCGGGGGCGGCGGGGGCCTGAGTCACAGCCCGGCCCGGGCGCCGGCCTCAGGGGACGGGGGTCCGCGTGCGGCCGCGACGGGGCGCCCTTGGCCTGGGGGACGCGCGCGGGGCGCCCGCCGAGCGCACGGGGCTGGGGAGCGACGGTCCCCCTGGCACAGTCCGCGAGGGTAGGCGGCACCCCGGGCCCTACCCGGCACCCCGGCACCCCGGGACCCCGGGACCCCTGACCCCGGGACCCCGGCACCCCGGGACCCCTGCACCCTGGGACCCCGGGACCCCTGCACCCCGGGACCCCGGCACCCCGGCACCCCGGCACCCCGGCACCCCGGGACCCCGGGACCGGTCCTGCCTCGGCCCCGGCGGCTGAGGGCGCGCAGGGCCGCCGCCCGCCCCCAGGCCTCGGGCCCCGCAAAACCCGCAGGTCCACGCGGCCTCCGGACACAGCCTCCCAGTCCCTGCTCTGTGGGAACAGCGCTCCTGCTTCTACCGTGTAACCGGCCCGCCGGTGGATGCGCCCCGGGGCTGTGGGAAACCTGACAACTGGTTAGTTACTTTTTGGACCTTAGAGTTTGGATTCCGCTGGGATCGGATTTTCTCCGACGGCCCGGTTCACTGTGACGGGAAGGCCACCTCTGTGAGGCGGCCCCACCCTCCTTACTTCTGCCTCTTCTTCTTTTCTACAGCGGGAGGATGTGTGCTGGGCTGCCTTTCCAGATCCCCAGACCCGGGGTCTGTGGGCATGGCACAGAATTTCGGGATCTGTAAGTGTTGATGACCGGCTAAGGAAGCGCCGGCACTCCCACTGTGGAGCGCGAACTCTCAGGCCACGAGCATCCAAGTCACAGGCAGAGCCGAGACACCGTGTTTTCCCGAAGGTCAGCTTTTCAGGAGCCTGAGACACTCCTTCCCAGTCCTCCTGCCCGGCTGCCTCAGAGGCACCCCGGGCTTCTGAACAACACACAGCTCCCGAGCCGGCTCTGAACATTGTGTTCAGTAAGAAGTCGTGGGTAGGACTTGGGAGTCAGTCATGGTTCAGGTTTATGACTGACTACCAAACAGGATTATGACTTTTTCTTTTCTTTTCTTTTTTCTTTTCTTTTCTTTTCTTTTTTTTTTCTGAATAAGAAACAACCACTCTCTCTGGGAGTATTTTCTTCATCTAATTATTACACTAATGTGTCTTGGCGTTACCTAGTCTGTTGAATTCTTCATCGTGTTCCACAGGGACCACTCTTGCAAACCTTCATCTTCAACCACATGTGGCATTCATTGGCAAGATATTTTACAGATTGTAGTCACTCCCCAAGCTTCCATTTCCTCCTCTCTAATCTCCCCGTTAAGGGTGTCGGCAGAGCTAACACAGATCTTGTATCCTATCTTCTTGGCCATAGGATGGATATAAATTTAATTTGGGCAAGTATGATCAGGTATTTTTGGAGGCTTCTTAGAAAGGCGCTCTCTCGCTCTCCCTCCCTCCCTCTTTCCCTTTCTCTCTCTCTCCCTCCCCCCACTCCTGAAAACTTTTTACAGGTGAAAATTAGGGAGAGAGCAGAAAAATGACCTACGAAACAGCGTGGGAACCACCCTCAGACCCAGGAGAGGTGGCGCAATAACATTTTTCCAACAGTTTTATTTAGTTCAAAGTATAACCAGCAGTTTTCATGCCACGGAATCTATCCATTTTAAGTGTACAATCATGATTTTCAGTTAGTTTACAGAGTTGTACAACCATCACTACCATCTAAATTTAGAACATTTCTGTCATCGCCAAAAGGACCCCTCCCTTCTACCCCTTGTCAGTCAGTCAATCACTTTTCCCATGCCCAGCCCTCGGCAACACTAACCTGATCCCATAGATTTGCCTTTTATGGCCATTTCATATGAACAGATTGAAACATACATGGCATGTGTCACATATGAACAGAATGAAACATACATGGAGGTTCGTTCTCATGTGTAAATAACTTCTTTTTCATTGCTGAATAGTATTCACCTGCATTTGTTTTAGGAAACAAACGTACCACCACCACTTGGAAGCCAAATATCGTCGGTCAGTTTTGCACCAGGCAACCAGGGAATATAGATTTCATTCCCTTTGCTGCCTGCGTGTCTTCTGGAGAGAAAGAGATGAAATAATACTTGTGGGCTGGGAGGTTTTCTATTATTTCCATGGCTGCTTTAAAGGTCTAATCCCACCCTAGCTGGTTTGGCTCAATGGACAGAGCATCAGCCTGTGGACTTAAGGGTCCCAAGGTTCTTTTCCGGTCAAGGGCACATGCCTGGGTTGCAGGCTTGATCCCAAGTAGGGAGCGTGAGGGAGGCAGCCAATCAATGGTGCTCTTTCATCACTGAGGTTTCTATCTCTCTCCCTTTCCCTTCCTTTCTAAAATCCATAAAGATATTTAAAAATAAATAAATAAAAAATAAAAATGAAGACCTATTCCGTTCCATGGTAGAGTGACCCTTTTCTTAGAATCCCACTAGCCTCCGCCCCTGATATTTTCCTTGGGAGACTATTAAAGTTGTCTTTCTCGTTATTGTTTATTTAGTGGGGTATCGGGTAGGATAAATAGCTTCAGCTATGCTGGACGACAAATGGTCATGATGCTATATAATTAGAAAGAGTTCATTTGGGGGAGATGGAGGGGGGGCTACCTCACAGCTCAGCATGCAGGAGCCCAAGTGGCTGAAGTGGTGCCTGCCATTCAGCACGCCCGCCGTTCCCAGTCCTCCTGTGATGAAATTTCACTGAGCCATTTGGCAGAGTCAAAACTATGCAGCTATTCCTCCCCCTGTCCTCCCTCCCCCATGATTGACCCCGAGTCTGTGACTTAAAAAATACAGGAAATACCTCATTGAGTTTCATGGTTATTTACCCAAAGATACATTTTTAATTATTTTGTTTTGAAACATTTAAGAGAAGTTAGTCTTTATTTATTTTTCTGTTTTGAAAGGCCAACCAAGGAGGTTGGGAGTGGGAATGAGAGGTCTCCTCTCACTTAGGTTGTACCTCATGCTCACCATGAGTGCACTGAGGGGGGAAATACCTGAGCTTAAGAGGTAATGGCTGCCCTGACCGGTTTGGCTCAGTGGTTAGAGCATCGGCCTGCGGACTGAAAGGTCCCGGGTTCAATTCCGGTCGGGGGCATTTACCTTGGTTTCAGGCACGTCCTCAGTGGGAGGTGTGCAGGAGGCAGCTGATCAATGTTTCTCATTGATGTTTCTAGTTCTCTATCCCTCTCCCTTCCTCTCTGTAAAAAAAATCAATAAAATATATTAAAAATAAAAGAGGTAATGGCTTCTGCTGTGGATATATCTGAAGAGAGGCAAAGTCAAAGAAATCTGGGTATGTTTGACTTGAAAGACAAATTGTTAAAATTATAGTTTTGTGTTCGGTTGGGTGACATTTGAGGTATTATGCTCCCAAGATGCCTGGTTAGTTTGTCCTGTTTTAACTAAGGATAGTATAAACTTAGACTAACGCCCCTTAGAGTGGGCTCTAACGGAGCTGCAGGATGGGATCACCTGGGAGCTTTGCAAAGCGCTGGCAGCTGAGGCTGGCAGGCGTTCGGCCCTCAGCTCCCCAGGCGGTCCTCATGCACTGCGCACAGTGCAGACAGAGAGCTTACCTCCATGTGAGAGGGTCCGCTAATAATTCCACTTTTTCATTTCCCTTTCATGATCTTATCATTAAAATTTTACTCTAACTGTGCTACTGTGTTCCCCCAATAAAACGTGGCATTTTGCTCTCTTTGTCCATTGCTCTATCCCTGGCCCCCGTGGAGTGTCTAGGACTTGACAGGAACTTAAGCATTTGCTGAATGAATCCACCAGTCCTATGCTGTCTCGACATTCGCTACCTTATATTGATTTTTAAAACATTTTTATTTTAGGACATTTTTAGGTTTACAGAAAAATTGATAAACAATAGAGTCCCCATATACCTCACACCCAGTTTTCCCTATCATCAGCATCATACAACAGTATGATATAGCAGTCACATGACAACCAATACTGAATCACTGTTATTTTTTTGTTTTGTTATTTTTAAAAAATATATATTTTATTGATTTTTTACAGAGAGGAAGGGAGAGAGATACAGAGTTAGAAACATCGATGAGAGAGAGTCATCGACCAGCTGCCTCTTGCACACCCCCCACTGGGGATATGCCCGCAACCAAGGTACATGCCCTTGACCAGAATCGAACCCGGGACCCTTCAGTCCCCAAGCCGACGCTCTATTGAGCCAAACCGGTCCAGGCTGAATCACTGTTATTAACTAAAGTACATATTTGTTCAGATTTTCTCAATTTGTACCTAATGTCTTTTAAGATTTTTTTATTTTTATTGTTTTCACAGATTAAGGGAGAAGGAGAGAGAGAAACATCAATGAGAGAGAATCATTAATCAGCTGTTTCCTGCATACCGGCGACAT